TTTCAAACTATAATATTGCTTGATCTGTTTTCCAACATTTGACACTAATGCATATCAATATTTCCTCATAGATTTGACTATTGGATTTACAGGTGGAGTGATAAGTGAGGGGATGGAACAGATAAGTATTGGCATTGGTGTTTACAGTGGTATCTTCAAACCGGGGTATATTGCTAGCATTAATATGCAAATAAAGAATTCACAAGGTAATTATTTTTAATCAGTATAATTTATATTGCTCAATTTTTTGTGGCAGATCATTCATCAATAAACAGTACTTTGGAGTTTCAGAGTAGCATTGATAGTTACACCATTATATTTAATGCTACACAGCTTGCAACTGAGCTCAACTTGATAAATCCTACTAATATTACTGCTCTCTTGCTTCCTTTTGATGATGATGATCTCCTTGTCTCCATTTCTCCTGCTACATTAAACATTACAATGTCTAGTGAATCTCCAATACCTTCTTTAGCTAGCAATACCGGTACGTATTCTCAGTCCAGTATGTATTCTCAGTCCAGTACGTATTCTCAGTCCAGTACGTATTCTCAGTCCAGTACGTATTCTCAGTATTCTGATGCAGCCACTAATTACTGTACTCCATCAGTATCTATTACAACCACCACAAGTACATTATTTTTCACTGTTCAACAGCCAGCAAGTACAGTATATGTGACTGTTCAACCCACAAGAAGCATTACTGGTAGTACAGTGTATGTGACTGTTCAACCGACTGATGCAGTATCTACACAAGCTAGCAGTGACAGTATCAATAGTTCTATCATTGGTGGACTCTTTGTTGTTATTGTAATTGTTATTACTATTATCAGCATCATTGCTGCAATTATTATGTACAGGTGTGGCAAGAAAACTGGTCAAATGGAGAGCATTCAAATCACTTCTACTACCACAGAAATGAAGAGGGTTCCATACGGCATTACTAATCCAGCTGCTATTGATTCACGAACTTCAGAGAGTCCTCAAGAAATGTATACTGAAATGGCATCAGTTAATCCTCCTCCTCCTTCAATGAAGTCCAACACTATTTCGTACTCGCACTTAAATCAATATCGTAATGTTGCCACTAGCAATCCTCACCCCAGGTCATACACTATGATAAATACTGCTACAATGGATAGACCAACCGCATATGCTGATGTTACTAGTCCTCTTCCACCTCCTCCACAAATAGTAGGAGATGTACCTGATCCTTTGAATGAAGAAGAGGAAATATATGAAGACATGACAGCAACTGCACTATAAACATTTATTTTTATTGCTGCTATCAGACATTTAGTTTTGCTTTCAAAAAATATTTAAA